GCGATACAGAAAGCAGAGGAGGATTGTAAACATGCAACCGTGTAGAGACAAAAATGACAAGCTGTGGTGTAAATAAGATAAATAACATAAGGCTATTTAGTTTGTTTAATAAAAGGACAATGTATGGACCTGTTCTATAGGAAAGGTAACATTAAATGACTTCTGTTGTGATCTGGCGCTATATAGAAAATAAAATGAAATGAAATTAACTTGACCTTCAAGGGGGGTGGAAGGTGCCATTAGGGGGGGGGGGGCACCCCCCTAATATAATGGTAGGGGAAACACTGCCTTGAGAGTTTCATGTTTGGTCATTTAATTTCCTCTATAATTTTTTCATAGTCAGATTAGGTCTGGTTATAAAGTCAGAACCAATTAACCACAAACCTGGGCTGGTTTCAGTTCTGACCCACTCAAAGACATTAGAGCTGTATAAGGACCTCAGCAAACCTGGCACCTCAAAATGCCGGGTCACCCTGATGGACAGTGTGGATCAGGTTCTAGGCGACGTGACCTTACAGACGGTGCCGTCACGCCCCGACTGGCTCCCAATCCATCACGCACGCACACACGCACGCACGCACGCACGCACGCACACACACACACACACACACACACACTTTGGGCTCACTGTCAGGGTTCTGTATACAATGCGAATACTAAAATGGCAACCTTGGATTCTGCACTTAAACTGGAGTTCTGCCAAATAAACTTTCCCTCTGCACTTTTTGCAGCCAGCAGTTTCAGGAGGAAAACATGACAATCTTTGTCTTCCACCATTTCTATAATCACACTACCTGAAATAATCTATGAACGAGATAGAAATAGTGGTCCGGCTCCTATTCTTATCACAGACTACCCCTGATCCTGGAAGATCGTGCAGATCCATTGGGAATCCCTGCCCTCAGGCTTTCAGAGGGACGGCCCAGAACTCTTACGGCCAGGTAAGCGGCGTCCTGCTCGATTCTGTCGGCCAGGCGGTTTAGGAGCAGCCCTCGATCTGAGGCATCCATCCGGCGCCACGGAGACCCGAGCCGAAAGGCATCCTTGGCTGCTTTGACTGCCTTATCGACATCCCCCTGAAAGAAAAGAAAAATCAAAGCATAATCTACAGACAAAGTCCATTTCATTTAGCCGATTCCAAAAGTAAAGCTGCCATTTAAAAGGTCCCTTCAGGCAAAGCAGGGCAACTTTATCTGTACAGCACACTGAATACACAGAAGCAATTCCAGGTTAAGTTAAAAACTACAGCAAAAAACAATTAAATACATTAATAAGGCATGATAATAGGTTATTAAATATAGCACAAATATAGTAAAAATAAAGTGCAGTGCAGCACCCAAATTAATAAAAGGTAAAGATGAATAAAACGTTTTTCGTCTTAATTAAAATGTGTCTACTGTTGCTGCACATCTAAGCTTTACTGGGGAGCTGATTCCAGCTGTGGGAAACACAGCGGCCAAGAGCCATGTCACCATGCCTGAGTCACCCTCACTCTGGGCACTAGCAGCTCATCAGCCCCTGGAGACCTAAAACACGTAGTATGTTTTACTCTCCCAGTATGTCTGAGATTGTGGGACTTATACATGAGAAGCCATAATTAATCATGGAACTAACTGAGGGCCTGGCAAGTGCAGTGATGCGTTCACTTTTCTTGGATTTAAGCAGCACCATTTTGAATGAGTTGCAACTGTTTAATAGTCCTATATTAATGTTAGTGTCAATACAATAATGCATATATGTAGTTAGATGCATAGCAAGTCTTTATAACATAGATGAAAAACATGTCCATTGGACATAATTCACTGTAAGACAAAACAATGCATAAAAGCAAAACATAGTGGTTATCAGCTCAGCCTTTACAATGCAGTAGAATCTAAATTAGTTTCACTGAAAAGAATTCTCTGGAACTTTCCAGAATAGAGACCAAACACCATGTGACTGGCGAGCACAGACCTTGTCCCCCTCTGCCACCTGGCAGATGACTTCGCCGGTAGTTGGGTTTATGGTGGGGAAGGTCTTCTTGCTCACAGAATCATGCCACTCGTTGTTGATGAAGAGCTGTGGGAAAAGTCCAACATATAAATCTTTTACTGAAAAGATGCATTAAAAATCCAAGACACTCTTTGCAACTCTAAGAGCTTCAGGGAAAGAGGAAACCTGACGGCTTAGTCCGAACTCTTCAAATCACTCCCCTTCCCCCTCAAAAAAAGAAAAAGAAAAAAAGAAAAAGAAAAACTGAAATCAAAACAAAAACTAGAACACTTCCTTCATTATCTTTGGGGCAAACTTTTAAATCATACGTGCATGAACAGTATTTCCGCAAGTGCGAACGGGAAGAAGGGGAATATTTGATTAGGATCTTGTAACATGTTCCTTAGGAATTGTCGTAGTCGAATCTAAGAAGAATCACAAATACAAAAACATGATTCTATCTTTACTACAACTTAAGTATATATAACTACTGTATATGTACCTTCAGGGCGTTCCACAAAACAAGTTTACGAAACTACGGTCCAAATGTCTAGAGCTGACAATCGAGTGCGTTCGAATATTTTTACTGCGCATAAGTAGTTTGGTATCAAGTCCAAACTATACACTACATGACAAAAAAATAATGCATGATGTCAAAACTGTGAACCGCTGTAAATAAAATTAATGGTGTACATTATGTGTTTTTTTTGCCGTGTTTGACTGTTTCTAGCATGTCGGCAGAAACGTGCACGCAGGCATTATCGCATTTTTAGCAGTAAACATATGTGAGCTGGCGTACCTTGTTGAAATGCACTGGAGGCTGGGTGCTGGGGGCTGGAATCGCCGCCGCCGAGTAGAAGCAGGCCGGCATGCGCGCGATGGCCGGGGAGATCCGCGATAAGGTGCAGCGCAGCATGTTTTCCTCTCTTGCAAAGACGTCAAAATGCAAACAGCTTCGTGTGAGAACTGGTAAAAATATTTTGTCACCCAGCCTCGCCTCTCGTCCTGCCTCAGGTCAGATTTGCCGCGGGGATGACAGATAGGCAGCCGATCCGGGTATTTACGAAACGTCAGGGCTTTCTGCACATTCACCGCTGGCGAAAACACGATCGAGTGTGTCCTATAGATCAAATTTCAGAAGTGCATATATCACCACTGAAATGGAGCCCACGTAACACATATCTGCACTCATTTTCGCACTAAATACTTTTGTCGGCATAGCAATGTGGCGGCTTTTAGCTATTAGCCATGCTAATAGTTTTCTCCAGGGATCATAAATCTGTCGTGGCAATGTGAGGTGTGAAATGTGCGGTAAAAATAAACTATGTAGGGCAAATTTTTGAATACCATGAGCGTGGTTAAAAAAGAAAACACATTTTGATCTAAACGGCAGTCAGAATTCGTTATTGTGTTGACCCCTGGTTGTGTTTACATAACTGTCTTGTCCGATATCAGTCTTTGCTGCTGCGAGGTACAGTTTGAGCTCAGCATTGTAGCCTGGGATGGCGATCATGTCGGGGAGTAAGGTCAAAGACACGTACTGTTCGTGGATCTGTGTCAGACAGGGGCGTCAGAAGCATTTTGAATGTGTGTGTGTGTGGGGGGACACACACACTGGCACAAAACTAATATTTTTTGTTAAATGTGAGGGGGTCCAAACGAATTTAATGGCATGGTGTCGGGCGACATACTTGAAGAGATCTGTCGTGATTTACAAGTTTAACATCTAATTCCTTGTCACTACGTTCACTATCCCTATACCCTTCTACAGTAAGTGCAGTTGGGGCTGCAAATATTGTTGTTTCCGGTAATGCATGTAAATGCATAACACAAAAATTGACTGCCAGATGGTATTTTGTAAAGACACATTCATGTTTTCTAATTTTCATGAAATATTTGTTTACCATCATGATTGAATAAACCTTTTCATTTCTCAGCCCAAGGCTTCAATGGTTTGCATGTATTTCTTGCATTTTGAGAGCACAGAAGTGTCCAGCGTGCTCCAAAGATCACGAAACCCATCCAAATGTCCTCAACTGGAAATTTCATCTGAGGGAAGGGATTAATAGTAATTTGTTAATACTTACTCAGGGTAGGCAACTTTGGTCAGCTGGCTGGTGTGAGATTTTCAGTTCGAGACAAGTCTGCACACACATTTACATGTATGTAACAGTTTTATTACCTTGTAGTCTGTAGGGTTTGCAAACTACCTCAAAGATTTTGATGTAGCTAGTTTTAAGTTTATAATAGAATAATATAGATTTGCCACAAGATTTCTTGCGTGAGCATCTGAAAGCGTGTCACGCCAGATGCGTGAGAGATGGCAGCCCTGCTCACGGGAAACACTCACAATAGCCAAGAAAATGGTAATAAGAAGGTTAGAAAGTCAGTGATAATTGGGAATGTAATAGATAGAAGAGAACAAAACCCCCTTTGGCTGTGCTGCAAACAGGCTTGTGCAGAAAGACCTGAGTGACCAGAGGAGGAAGCAAGATTGTTGAGGTCTTTATGAATAACATGATTGCATTACTTAACAGGAAGCCATTGGAAATGACGAAAACAGGACTGAGTGTCATTGAGTAGAATGGCGAATGTAGCTTAGGGAGCAAGCAGGCGCTCATAGCCACCTTGTTTACCTAAAGAACTGTCCAGCAAATAATAAGGTTACAGCTGCACACAGATGTTGCAAATAAGCACCAAAATGTCAAAGGAAGCATGCAAAAAAGCCAAAATTTCAGGATTACGTATTTAGCAGATACGTTTATCCAAAGTGACATACAACAATGGTGGGATCATTCAGCCAACCATGGGATAACTGAACTTCCATCATTTTTTTACTTGCCTGTTGCTCCTCTAAGTGGGTGATCGACTATTTGGGCTAACCTGTATTAAAGATCTTAAGAAACCAATTCCGGGTACTTTAAACTATGTTGTTTCTAACTCTGTATTTCATCAGGCAACCACTCAGTCCTTTCCAGCATATGGAAAAAGGAGTCATATAGCATATAAGGCCCAACAGCTGCTTAGACCTACCCATGGTCCTTTGCAACCTGAATATTATTACTGACACCGAAGCTTGGAAAAGTGTCAGCTGAGACAAACTGGAGAGAGACAAAGAGCCAACAAAAATGAAGAGTATAAAAGGAACAGGCCAAACAGTCATGCGAAACATTGCAAGAATAAGAATAGTAATTCATGCAAAAAAGGTAAAGTAATTCATTTACTTTAAGTAATTCAAACAGGAAAGGCAGGAGGAGAGGACATAACTGAAATGCCTAACAATACATTAATATGGGATTAGCTAACATTGTACCTGGGAGCATGATCTTGGATTATGGGAACATCACGAGGGAAGTGATGGCTGCATAAATAGGGGGCACTATTCATTCTCTGAAACTGCTTGTCCTATACTGGGTCACTTAAAAATGCAGGAAATTAATAGGAAATATAGCTAAATCAATAGGAATTAGCCATTGACAAAATGAGAAATAATCATTTTTGAAATTAAAATAATAGTTGTGTTCTTTAAACTTTCACACTTCAAGCTTTTGTCAGAGTCCTCCATTTGCAGTAATTACAGCCTTGTAGACCTTGGGCATTCTACATGTCAGTTTATTGAGGTAACCTGATGAGATTTCACCCCGTGCTTCCTGAAGCATCTCCCACAAGTTGGATACACTTGATGGGCACTTCTTACGTACCATTCAGTCAAGCTGCTTCCATAACAGCTCAATAGAGTTGCGATCCGGTGACTGTATTGGCCACTCCATTATACACAGAATACCAGCTGAATGCTTCTTCCCTAAATAGTTCTTGCATAGTTTGAAGCTGTGTTTGGGTCATTGTCCTGTTTTAGGACGAAACTGGCTCCAATGAAGCGCCGTCCACAGAGTATGGCATGGTGTCGCAAAATGGAGTGATAGCCTTCCTTCTTAACGATCCCTTTACCCTGTACAAATCTCCCAGTTTACCATCACCAAAGCAACCCCAGACCATCACACTGCCTCCACCATGCCTGACAGATGTCACGCACTCCTCCAGCATCTTTTTATTTGATCTGTCTCACAGACATTCTTGTGATCCAAACATCTCAAACTTAGATGCATCTATCAATAGCACTTTTTCCCAGTCTTCCTCTGTCCAGTGTCTGTTCATTTGCCCATCTGTGTCTCTTCTTTTTATTGGCCATTCTGAGATATAAGAGGGCACCGTAATAGCCCAACCCTTTGTTGTCTGTATTTAAACGCCAGGAGTATTAGGAATAAAATTCATGATTTAGAGGCT